CTAAAAAGGGCTTTTTTTCTGCACAGCGAATTGCGACGCCGGTCGTATCCCCGAAGCCGTACTTCGTGCCATTACCATTCTTGAAGGTCCTGGACACTTAAGTTGGAATGAACACTGCAACCAATTATCTGAAGATGCCTCAATGGCTGGCGTAAGTAATGGGCGACCTGCGTGCCTGCAGCTCTTGTTTAATGGTCGTGATAAAACGTAACAATGTAAGTAGTTAAGATGGCCATGGATAAACTATTTATCAGGTGGGTGACAAATCCGTCTGCTCAATGTAATAAGTTTACCTGGATCGTGGTCGCAGACTCTAAACTTTTAGGCTTCTTGGAAACAACCGGAACTATATACTCTGCACGGGTTATCCTGCTTCATGTTTGGTTTCCATGACAATTTTGGATGATGCAGCAATGGCATGTCTAAACTGGCGTTCGAGTTCTTTTCTTTAGTCCTGCACCATGGCTGTGGAATATATTTATTTCATGAAAACAAAACCAATCTAGATTCATATAGAATCAAGTCCAGCCAGCTCTCTTCCACAATCAGCATCAGGACATTTTTTGGTTTTAATATCTAAAAAGAGATAAATGTGTTGTGTAATAAATTATTCATATATTTTATGTTAGTCTAACTTTTCTATTATTATTCGATACTCCAACCAATGGAATCTCTTAATTTTTGTTCCAATCCAAACCCTCTGTTCGATTTTCCACATAGTGCAAGACCTAATCTTAGTGCCCCCGACGTGATACGGTTAAATGAAACTCACTCAGTCCTTCTGCACAAAGGGGGCGGTCATTGTTAGTGGCTAGTGGTTCTCTTGTCACGCCGAAGACCGGGGTTCGATTCCCGACATGGGTACAATTTGTGAAGAGCATTTCTCGAGTCCCCCGCCGTCATATTGCTGGAATATTGCAAAAAGCGGCGTAAAACCATGCTCTCTCGCTCACTTCAGCAGAAAGAACACAATTGCTTTGAGCATTTTCTTTGAACAGGAACTTACTAATGACTGATAATAAGACAGATTTGGATCCATGTTTATCATAACGGACGGTCCAGTTATTAATGAGATCAAGACTTGAGAACTGATTATCCAAGAACATGCAGGAGAAACGAGATATAGTCATTTACAAGCTGCAGAAAGTTAAGGGGCAATAACGCCTGAAATAAATTCTTAAGTGTAAGAGCAAACATTACATAACGCGGGTTTAAAACCATAAATTTGAGAGTTTACAAGTAAATGTCATTGGTTGCGCATGACAGGAAGTTACTCAGTTTGTTCAAGTGCGTGACCCAGGGGATGACGTATCTGCCGCGAACATCAAGATGAAATCCATTGGTGGTGGTGGTGGTGCTCCGTGTTTTGGTTGTCTAGTCCCAGACAGCCTCCAACAGATGAGCGGCAGCCTTGTCTTCTCATCACTGTCTCCCTCAGCGCCGGAAGTCGTGGAGAGTGCGCAGAGCTGACCTTGAACCTGCCCATAAGTTATGTCTGTGACACTGACAGGGGATTGGCGTGAACATGCACAATTAATGGTTACCAGATATTCGTAATCTTGTAAAAGGTGTCAAGCGCTGAATTTTATCATGATCACTTGCGCTATCCAGTTTACGTTCTCAAACTCAAAGCGGCTCGTGAATCCCAAACCCATGTCGGACCGAATGCCGATCAGATAGGCAGAGTACGTTACAAATATCTCGGATTCAACTAAAGTCAGAAAACCTGATTATACGGAGATGCCTGAGCATACTGGTGAGTCAGCTCTATGAGTGAGTGAGTATTTTTTACGCCGCTTTTAACAATATTCCAGCAATATCACGGCGAGGGGACACCAGAAATGGGCTTCACACATTGAACCCATGTCGGGAATCGAACCCGGGTCTTCGGCGTGACGAGCGAACGCTTTAACCACTAGGCTACCTGACCGCCCCGTCTGGTCTATGGCCACGTTGACTCCTAAAGGACATGCAACCTTCGAAGTGAGTGGGTGAGTAGTGTTTTACGTCGGACACAAATATTATACCCACTTCCAAGCCAACACTTGAACCAGAGAGCTACCCACCGTCCCTGAAACTTTTATAAGATTCAGTAGTGAGTGAGTGAGTTGGGTTTAACGCCGCTTTTAACAGTACTCCAGTTATATCACGGCGTGTCAGCTTTATGTTGGAGGAAAACCCGAAGTGATGGAGGTCTCAGACGTTTACCACTTCGGTGAAACCCACGAGCACGGTGCTGACAAACCTACAAACATATTCGGGGTGAACCGGGATTCGAACCTACAATCATAGGTTACTGGCGTGCCCACGGGACCCAACTCTGCACAGCGAATCGCGGCGCCTTAGAAGACTGGGCCACCCGTGCCCCCGAAGATTCAGTAAAGGACATAGGAACTACTATGGAATGTGGATGGAGCAATATTCTAACTATATCCAGCAGCCTGTGAATCATCCGAGTCTGGGCCAGACAAGCAGGTGGTTCGCTGGTATGGGACACAATGAGGCAGAATCAGCTATGTAAACCGGTAATAACCAATGGCATGTCTACATCTGTGTTCAAGGGGCCTTTTTGTTTGCTTTCCAAGACTACTTTCATGACGATGCTTCAACCAATGGAATGGCTCAATTTGTGTTCAACGCCATTTTGTTTTGTTCCTAATCAGAAAAAGTCTGACTTACCAACCATCTGACCGCCTCCGTTGTCTATTGGTAGAGCGTCCGCCCGGGGAGCGGAAGGGCTTGGGTTCGAGCCCCGGCCGCGTCATACCAAAAGACATTAAAAGATGGTACTTGTTGTTACCCTGTCTGGCGCTCGGTATTAAGGGGATAAAACAAGGGCTGGTCAAGTCGGACTCAGTACACTGTGTCTGAGTGGGGTAGCACTATAAATCGGCGTCAGTCCGGACTAGTACAAGCAGTCACACACACACACACGCACGCAGGCACGCACGCACGCACGCGTGCAATAATCTTGGACCTTAAGCCCTTCATTGGCTGTTAGGAAGCCAATCGGAAGCCAATCGGTCCGAATCCTGAAGTGGGAACACATTCAACATGGCTTTGTATTTTGTTTCTGCTGATTTAATACAACACTTAAAGTTAAACTAAGAGCAACATTTAAAATAGCAGGCTTATTTGCAGGTCTATGTCAAAACAATGAGTGTGATTCGTGTAAGACAATGCTTTAAATATCACCTGTCATACCAGGGCCTGTGTTTAATGTGGTTTGGTGCAGACAGACCAAGTATAATGAAAGGCAAATCTTGGATCCTAACCCAGCAGATCCTGACTCATCAATAGGAGTCAACTCTTCACATCCACTAAGCAGCAAAGAAAATGAACTGATGTTTCTCCATTAAACAAATCAAGATGCTGGTTAATGGCGGACTGGTGCACATTCCGTTTCCTTCCTTTGTTCTTGTATGTCCCTGATCCACCTGGGGTGAGTGAGTGAGTGAGTGAGTTGGGTTTATATGCTATATTTTGAACACAAATGCAGACATGCTATTGGTTATCACTTAATAAATAAATTGTGTTCCATGGCATTTGATGGGCTTAACATTTGTTTCATAAATTGAAAATAACTAGGCCATGTCACTAACAGTTTCCTGGTTGACTGAAAATAGAATTGGTGAGGCTTTTGTTGGGTTGTACCATGTCACTGATTTTGTACCCTTGTAGTTTTTGTGCTGAGGACTAAATATGCTGTCTGCGAAGTGATTATGTTGTCATTCTACCAAGATGCCCCAATTAAAAATAGTAAACAAACATGGAGAAGGGGTGAAATTTTGACTAGCCAGACAGACCATCTGTTTTGTTTCAGCAATTTTTTGTAATTTTAATTGGCCACGGGTCAGCTGGCCAGCAGTTAAATCGACCCGTGGACATTGCAAGAATGAACTCTCTGTAATGCCAGGAACACCACATCATGAGGCATGTAAGTCTTTGCATTGACAATTAAATAAGCTGTCTGTGAAGTGATTATTTTTTTCTGCATTAAGTGGTTTGGACAAACCGAGAATCATAATCACAACAGATCTGGGATTCAAACCAAGGATCAGTGGATCCTGACAGACCAAATTCTGCACAGCCTATTGTGACATAGACCACTGAGCCACCTGTGACCTGTGGGAAGAGTGAGTGAGTGAGTTGGGTTTAACGCCGCTTTTAACATTATTCCAGTCATATCGCAGCATGTCAGCTTAATGTGGGAGGAAAGCCCGAAGTGATGCAGGTTTTAGATGTTTTCCACTTCGGTGAAACCCACAAGCACGGGTATGGTGCTGACAAACCTAGAAACATAATTGGGGCGAACCGGGATTCAAACAGACAAACATAGATTTCTGGCATGCCCAAGGGATGCAACTCTGCACAGCGAATCGCGGCGCCTTAGACCACTGGGCCACCCGTGCCCACTCTGTGGGAAGGAACCAAGTAACAGACACAGGGTGCATTCCGCTTATTGAGCCAGCTACACCATGGGGCATACAGGGGTAGATTTAACAACAAATTTGTATGTAACCAGCTGCTCTTGCTCCTTCTTAAAGTTCCTGGCCCTTCTCCAAACTAACAGGCCGACAACTAAATGGTGGAGGCCATGCATAACAGAAGTGGGGTTTGTTTGTTTGTTTGTTGTATAACACTGCACTCCGTAATACTCCAGCTAGATGACAGCTGCATGTAAATAATCAAGACTGGACCAGACAATTCAATGATCGATTGTGAACAGCAATCCACACTGCAATCCAACATGACACCAAGCCTGACCAGCTAATCCATTTGGAGAAACTATGTACAGGTATACACTTTAATTTGTGGTAGAAATTTAAAAACAGTAATACCAGTATAAGGTTCACTAGCCTGTGTTGTCATAGTTTGTGTACATAGCTGAAATATGGAGTCCTGCCAGTACTGGATGAGATCCTATTGGACCGAGACGAGAGAAAACAAATGTTGACATAATAATCATCAACCAAGCAAAAAGTACAAAACACCAAGTATAATCATAAATAATTTGTTTATTCCAAATGGTTCATATACATGACTGCACTTGAATGGTGGGCTATTGGTGTCCTGTTGTTATGATAGAAAATTAGACCAACTAAAGCATGTCTCCTAACAACATGGCATAAAAAAGACAATGTGGAGACCTGTCTCTTTTGACAGCAATAGTCTTAATACATAAAGGGTTAATGCTATAGCAAGTTGTCAGGATGCTAGTCAGAACCTCAACAAAACAGAATCCGTAAGGTGTTAATCTCCCATTTTTCAATTATAAGGTGGCACTCGTATGCACTTTGATAGCTGTAAACTTCAAATTTGGTCTGAAGAAAGGGGAGACAACTGATGAGTTTCTGGTCCTATATGGTGACCTATATCCTTTGTTAAATGAGGGGCAAAAACACTCCTCTTAAAACATTAAAGAATATATAAACAAAGAATTCGTCATCCACCGACGGTAGACATAATTAAATATATTTCCAAAAGGGTTGAATACAAGAAGGCAGTTTAAGAGAGAGAGACAAATAATCTGGTAGTACATTCAAGATCGAGACAAGATCTGAGAGGGTTACGACCATTGTGTAGGATCTAATTAACATCATGACAATCCAAGCCAGCATATCACCTCCGTACACTTGTTGCCATCACGTACAGCAAATTTACCCTGAACAATTTTATTTGATTTATGATCTGGCAATTCTGGTGTACAAAGAGCAACCTTACATGGTAGTGTGAAATATACACATGTTCTAAACAAGACGTACATGTTCCATGTGAGTCACTTACATTCAGAACAACAAAAAGGGGTGGAATATAACATTAAAAATCTATTTCAAGCTCTTCACCTGTGCCTTACAATGACATATGCTAAACATTGGAAATTAAAGTGACAATTTCAAAACTAAAAGACACCCCTTTCAATGTTTAAATAATTCTTTGTAAGTTTACATTGACTTGAGACAATATCTAGATTGTCTACAAGGTCTATAGTCTATGTTTGGTAGCACACTGTCATTATTGATAGATATATCCATATACAAAGCCACTGTACAAACAAGCGTCACTCATAAACAACAAATGACTGGTTTTCTTCCTCAAAACCAGTCAATGACATTCAGACTAACAAGCCATTCCTTTCACCTCCCTTGCTTAGAGGGGGGACATTCTTTTTACCTCCCCTTATAAATCCCATATATTGTAAACACTATATAAATAATAGAATTAAATTATTGTTATAATTTTTGGCATCTATAATCAATCAGCATAAAAATTTCTCCTAAGAAACTTTTGATTAAAAATAAAAATTATCAAAAAACCTTTGACTTTGTAAACCATTTTCCAAAACACTTCCAGTGTATAACATTCAAAGAAAGTATTTAAACATGTCCGACAATCGCCATATAAAGTGGAAAATTCCCACTAAAAGTCTATTTCGGGAAATTGTCATTCTGAAAAAAAGAGGATAATATTTAATGAACATATAGTGCTTTCATTCGGAGCAGTGGAAACATTGTCTATCAGAATACTTAAATAAACATGACACAGAATACATGAACATTGGAAACACTATCTAGTGATTAGATCTGTATCTCCTCAACACATCGACTTTGTACAAAATAGTCTCATAGTAAGTATACAATATTAAAACGGCTCCAAGCTATGGCCACCTCTCGGGAGCTGCTTCTTCAAAGTCGAACATATCATTCTGTTGAGTAAAACTGCACAGGGACTTTATCAAAAGTTCACATAATATTTTTCTCAAACGAAAACAAGACTGGCTATCAAAGCATACAATTCTATTGCTCCATATATCTTGTTACTATTTACCAACACTTGGTTAAACTTGACCCACTTTTTTAATGATGAAGGCACTTATCGTCCTGTACACATATTATGTCTTCTTTTTTTGCTCATAAAATGCTTTTTAAGTGTGCAAATGACAAAAGAACTTTTGACACATTCCCTTTTTAATTTCATGACAAAAAAACAGCTTTGACACAGTTCCTTGTTCAATTTTAGGACAAAAGAACTTTTGACATGTTCCCTTGCTAAATTTTAATCAACATGTAGCAAGTTTTGCCTATCTATGGACTTCATTCTAGCATAGTGTAGTACACATTACAAAACCATGCTCCACAATCTGTATACACAATCAAGTAGCTAATGATGACAGGTTACAAACAATCAACTTATACTTTGAAACTAGTCACAATGAATGCCTGGTTACGATTTAGTCATTTGTGGTTCAGGTAACGTAAATCTCCAGTCATAACACCTGCAACCTGAAGCATTTTATTACACCTGTAACATGTAATATTACTAATCGTCTTTAACCCATCTGCTGAACCATCAATGACACATTACCTGAAACACAAGATTTTAATTGACCTGTTTAACTGGCATTTCTAAAGGATTTTAATTTTCTTACATATTACTTATTTAGGCCTTAATTTTTTTAAATAATTGGTTTACAGATTTTTTGTGTGCAAAATCCAGGTCAGGTAGGTTATGACATTTCAGTTTTTCTCTTAGAATTATATAATGACAATGTGTTCAGTGTTCCATAACTCTTTAATGTATTCCATGTTTTGAACACATAAGTATACATAAGGTGGATTTCAAGGCCTTTCCAATGAATTTTTTATCGATCGTATTTCTTTTTCAGTAGATCTGTGAACCAATTATTTAAAGAATGACCCTATATGATTTGTTACCATAATACCCGGTAGCAAAGGTTCCATTTCACTTGTATGATGGCCGTAGGGGCGCCACGATCCAAAATATTGTCGACTTCTATAACCATCCTATTTCTTTTCTTTCATCAATCAAAAAAATATGAAAGCAAAAAATTCAATTTTACAAATCTTTTTTTTAATTTTTGTCATAGGCATTTTTCGATCATATTAAATTTAATTCAGAGTGTCATGACTTGTGAAAGTGACCTTAGATAAATCTTGTTGACTCTGCAACTAGACCGAGGTGCAATCACGCCACGACTATTTGTGACATGGATTGTTTGGAGAGTTACGTGTATCGTGACACCCCACATGGGTATAATATCATAAACCTACCTCCATACACACGGACACCTTCACATTACCTTGAATACTATAGGTACTATACACGTTATACATACAAGAACAATACATAGGTAAATATACCTTAGGATTTAAAAACTCATTCTTTTAACAATTTAATGCTGTTTAACTCCTCAGGATTTGAATTATCATAACAGGTTGTAAAATTAAAAGGGATAAAAAATGCAAATTACCCGATTTTTTTGTGTGTGGTCTTCATTGACATACAAAACATACATGTAAAGCCATTTAAGAAACTAATAAACATATATGAAATAAATGTATGGTCTCGGCATTACATAAATGCTCCCCACCCCCTTTGAGGTAAGTTATCATTGTTGTAGAAATGTGGTGGGGTATATAGCAACTTAATCCCCTGTTACCATGGACACAGGTTGCCATGGAAACATAGATGCCCTTTTCGAAACATGAGGTCTTGTGGCCAAGTCTAACTGGTTCTGTGCGCCAGGCAAGCTCCGATGGGTTTCGTTTTGATCTTAATTGACTGAGTAGTTCAATAGGACTAATGAGTTGAGAATAGTCAGAGGTAGTTGGCTGTTCCGTTGTTCTCCCCTGTAGAAGTATTTCCACATGTAGCTGTTTGTCAGTAGATTGGTTGGAAGAGCTTGCCTTTTAATACACCAGTTGGTAACTAACACACTGTACAACCAGGAAGATGATTGTCTTAGTAAGTCGTTAGGAAAACGGCAGAATTGTGTGACCACAGTTCTCTGTCATCCTCCACATTAGGGCTACGCCATCAACGTCATCTGCAGTGGTGGACTTGGGTCAACCATACTCCTCGTAATCGACAACATCTTCGTTGCAATCCCAAACATCACTCACATTATTGGTTTGTGCCTCATTTGCATAATAAACGGCTAGTCCTATAACGTCACATATACACGGTCATCTAGAATAATAACACATGGACAATCTAGGACTCGAAAAAAATTGGAAAAATATTCACAGCACAATGTTGTTTAAATTTATCCAGATTTTGTACATTTTTGGCGCACCTTTTGATCTTCGCAATTCAGCCCTTATAGTCAACTCAATCACTTAGCACTTGAATGAGAAGGGGTCCTCGCTATCACGTCCTACAACCAACCCAGCATAGAATGTCCAGATTGACGCCCGATATCCGTACAAATGTCCGTACGTCACACCCGCCCGTACAGAGCACCAGACACAATAGTTTAGGCACAATGTTGACAGTATTGCTTTCGTTTGTTGTGGATTTTTTGACAACCAAAATAATCGAAAATTCTGTCAGGATTTGCAGAAGAGTCCTCCTCAGCACCACAAGTTTTGAAGCACTACCTGTCCTCCCATCACCATCACTAACGTAAACACTGAAACGGTATACACCACAGAGCCTGAGTCATCCGGCGTCGTGGGGTCGCTGGGCCTCGTCGGCTTCCTTGGTTTCCCTCCGTTGACACTGGGTGGCGGTTTCTTTGTTGTTTTCCTCCTGCCACCATTCGATTTGGGAATATTATCAATGTCGATGTTATCGCCGATGGAAGGTGGGTCGTAACCGCCTCCTGAACCACTGCCGTGGGTGTCCTCATCATCATCACCGCCGCCGCTGCCGCTGCCACTCATGCCATCGATATCTACGGGAAAAAAGTCCGGAATGAATGGGAGCAAGCTTTACAACACAACCTCGAGTCATTTGCTAATAAATATATTGCAAGTGATTCTGTGGCATTTCATTGGCTAAACAAGCAACTTTCTTTTCATCTTGTTTAGCCCAAAAGAAAAAAATAACTAGGCCATGCCACTAATGGTCTACTGTTTCCTGATTGGCTGATAATAGAATGGGCGAGGCTTGTGTCACATTATTGCGCTTAATTCGTACAGGTGTCTATAACTTTTTGATGTGGGAAATAAGCAGTCTATAAGAACTGACTTCAATATGTTTTTGCATTTATGGAGGGATAAATGTAAAGTAAAATATTGAAGTCAATTCTGTGGGATCCTTAATGACAAGCCAATATCTCTGAGAGTGAGTGAGAGTGAGTGAGTGACAAGCTAACGCATTAACCACTAGGCTACCCGACCACCCCCCAATATCTCTTGAGACATTATGTCACAAATACACAAGCATATGATGCTGGTTACCCTAGCAAAAATATTGAGGCAACTCTGGTATTCATAACCCCACTACAATGAGATCCTAGGATTTAAGGGACACAACTCAATTTTTAACCTGACGTTTTGGTGCCTAGTTTACCCTTTCTGCAATATGCTAGCCCATGGATGATAAGTCCATGGATGTGTAGTAATTCTATCCTCATAATAAGCAAGTCTAGATGTGTGGACAGTACAGCTAAGGACTCCAGTCTCGTATGGTGACAACTTGTTTTTATTATTTACATAACTAAGATTTAAATTAACAATTATTGACTTGCCAAGTCTAGCAATATGTCTGTGACCTAAGTAAAATGAAATTGTTGGCCTAACAATACTACATTGCAGCTGACCCGTGAAGATTCGGGGTAGAAAAGGTCTTCAGCAACTCATGCTTGCCGTAAACGGCAACTATGCTCGTCGTAAAAGGCGACTAACGGGATGGGGTGGTCAGGCTAGCTGACTTGGTTTATACATCTCATCGGTCACAAATGCGTGGATCGATGCTCATGATATTAATCACTGGATTGTCTGGTCCAGACTTGATTATTTACAGACCGCTGTCATATAGCTGGAATATTGCTGAGTGCGGCGTTAAATGACAAACCAACCAACCAACCAACCAACCAACCAACATTGCAGCTGATAAAGTTGAGTAACTGAAGGGCTACTTTAAATGGTAACATCCAGCATGGTTCAGTGCTACTGCAACATCTAAGGCCCTGTTCTGATTTCCCTCCCCCCTCCCACACACACAATTCTCCTTGAGTTTTGAAATGCTCTTGAATTGAACCTTCAGTGTGTAGTCACTTTGGGTGTCAATTTTTGTGTATTGTACCAGAACTGTTGAACACAGAATGTAATGGAGGACGTCACTCACAAGACTTGTCACTCCAATCTTCTAATACCTACCAGAAATACATAAGTGGGACGGTCACGCCTTCCTCTTACTATTTCCCCCTTCAAGCGATGCTGTCAAACTTTGACATTTCCACAAATAACCTAATTTCAAGATATCAGAGGAATTATTAATCATAAGAGGCCCCATCTTCTCCCGAGTTTCCGTGTACACCCATCTTATAACCACTGTCAGGTTTCCGAATCAATACCATCACCGAGGGACGAGGTAGGACCTCTCCCTTAATTAAATTCATCAATGCTGTCAATGGAGATAATGTTCAATGTCACAAGCAGAGTAGCTGCCCTCATATCTCAAATGGACTCATCTTTGTTCATTGCATCTCCCCGTAATGGTAGGTGCTGGAGGGGTAACAGGTTGTGAAGGCATGGCAGGTGCTTGTCGCACTCAAAGTGGCAGCTCCACATAGCACATGATAAACCATTGATTTGTAATTGAAGATATCAGTAGTTCAGGGGATGCAATTAATCATGGAGATTGTTGAGCTGAGGAAATTATTTGATATCTCAACTGACTGGTGCCTAGTGCAGAGAACATTTCAGCCAGTCCCTCCATGAGAAACAGTGAGACGAGAAGCTATAAGGCTTACATGGGAACGGTGCACGAGAGGCACACGCTCTGGGAGACCAAATCCCAGTTTGTATCAAGCACATTATTAAGACCAAACTTGAGGTAATGAAATTCAGATTTAATAAAGGGCTTGCTGGTGTTAGGTGGGGACACTGAGTGATTGACAAACAATGATGGAATCCCAGTTAAGTCTGTTTATCTTTACAAGCAAATTTGTTATTGGACATCAGGGTCAAGCGTTTCACACTTCCTGGATGTATCTTATTTTCAAATATGTCACCCTTGACATTGAATTTTCAAATATCACTAATTTGTGCTTCGATATTTCATACAGGTACTTTTTTCTTTGAAATATATGTAGGGAGTATGTATTGCAACATGTCTTGAAGGAAAGGTTTCATTCTATGAATTTATTAAAATTCTTGTGGCCTAATTTTTTCCATTAGGTGGCAGCACATCCATGACACCTCGCCTTCCTGTCCCATCTCACCAATCAATACAGCTGCTAGAACCATCTTCCTCTATAATACACGCAGTCACCAGGCGATATTGGATTTATCACATGCCTGTCACACACTCAATATCGCCTAGGAATTGATCGATAATCACTCACACCACAAAAACTTTCATCCCCTCTACTTCCTATGTAATAAGGCATGTGATATATTTCATAGCATCATGTGCGATATTGGATTTAACCTCCCTCTATAACACATCCTCAATAATCAATAACAAAGATTGGATGCAAGGAAGGTGATGTCACTGATTTTCTGTCGTAGCAGCGAGCATCTCGGTCAAGCTGACTCCATGCAGGGACCATAGCAACTCAAGCAGTGCACAACTCATATACATGGAATTCATGGGAAAATACAATATTAATATTAGAAGTATTAATTGGAAACACATTTATTATTTGCAATTTGAAGACTATTTAGAAAACATTCTTTCTCTTTAATGTCACGACTAAGCTTCTTCCATCCCCTTAAAAATATTGTGACTAATTTATCCTGTTATGCTTAATAACAAAGCTTATGACATTGGTGCAAATTATCCTGTGTCAAGTGACTCACTGCATGTGCAGGTGTCTGAAACAAATTGGCTAGGTGTCTGAAATATTGGTCCTTTTTCTCAGGAGACAATGATGTACAGCCCCTTGGCACTCTGAGGCTGAATAGGATGTGAAATCCTGATTCCATTTACCAGTAAACAAAAGTAATACAGCGTTATATATCTCCATTTAGGCTTCATATTTCCATAAAACAAATGGCATATTGTATGTGATAAACACTTTTTGTCATAAATGATGTATGGATGGCACAGGAATGTCATAATGTACCGGCTCATATTGAGGAAAACTCGGACATAAAGAGGTAATTTGCCTCATCATCTAACATGACGGCCGTGGACGGAAATGTCAAAAGAATTTGCTCCCTTTCCACAGCCCTATCAATCAGCATCGATGGAAAGCAATTTTTTTCTCATTCAGTACAGAAAGAGCCACCGGTCTTTCAAGCTTGCATCATGTGTGTTACCATGGGAACCAAATTTCTCCCCATTCTTGTCAATATTTTTTAAAATGTGCTTAGTCTGCCTGAGGATAATCCCGTCTTTTGTGACGTTTCCACCATGTCAGTTTTTAGTCCTACTTTGCATTTGGTATCACTGCAGATCAAGTTTTTGAATTTCACTTGAAAAATTTCACTTGCTGTTCTTCTGGACATGTTTCATCATGACCCAAAATACCTGACACACTGCGGTCCCACTGGGCCAAACTATCCTGCACACAATTATTCTTATTTCTTCTATACAAAACTGTTTCAATTAATCTTGTTTATTTTTTAAACTACAAATTTATCCAAAGCTAATTAGTCTCTGTTGAGTTTGTTTGTTGTTCAACGCTGCAATCAGCAATATTCCAGCTGACCATGGTGTCCTGTAAATACTCGAGACTGGTCCAGACAATCCAGTGATTGATATTGTGTTTGACTGATTGTTTGTTGTTTAACGTCGCACTCAGTAATATTCCAGCTATATGACGGCGGTCTCTAAATAATAAAGTCTGGACCAGACAATCTAGTGATTGATATCATGGGCATCCATCCACGCAATTGGGATATGATGACATGCATCAACCAAGTCAGCGAGCCTGACCACACGATCCCGTTGGTCGCCTCTTACGACAAGCATGGGTTGCTGAAGACCTATTCTACCCCGGATTGATATTATGAACGTATGGTTGAGGTACGATGACACACTATCAGCCTAATCACAGCACCTGACCACACGATCCATTAAGTCACCTCTTGCGACTAGTATAGGTTGCTGGAAACCAATTCTAACCCAGAATCTCCATGCAGTGTTGATCATGAGTGATTACAAATACAATATCACTTTTGTCATAAAGGCTTTATCATTATGCTAAGAGCATCATCAATATCTGCAATATAGTTACCTGTATCAATCCAATCAACATCAAGTCCATTGAATGCACTCCTGAGACGATTGGTTATAAGCTGAAGCTGAATGATTTGATTGGTTACAACTGTGTTGGCCTTGGTAACGTCCACTTCCACTTCTGGATTGTTGATTTGATTGGTCACTCCATCCTTCTGGACATTAGGTATGTATCTGAAGAAGCATAGTTAAATACTGAATTGTAGTAAAACATTGTATCTGTATGAACTCAACAGTAGTACAATATTGTATGTGGCTGCTCGTACTAGTCCGGATTATGACAGTTTTCTGGTGCAAGCCCTCATTGTTTTATCCCCTTAATGCTGAGCACCAAACTGGGTCCCAAGCGCCATCATCTTTTGGTACGACATGGACAGGGATTGAACGAACCCCTGACCGGTAGACGCTCTATCCACTAGTCAATAACACCCTGTAACATAATGTCTACAAATATGTAACATTGTAAAACACTCCTGTTTACTTGTATCAGAATGTGACAGGTTTAACAGCCTACTTAACTAATGCTTCATGAATTCAGATCACCAAAATAATTTTACTTTTCATGTTCACTGGAAGCTACCGGGCTAGACACAAATCCAGTCCATCAACATCTCATTGACAGTATTAGACGTCATGTAAATTTAGATTTTAACTAGTCTCAGATCTATCTTACTGGTAGGTGTCTAACCCAGGTGACTAAATAGAAAATTTGTCAAACACTTTGCATTTGAATCATCAAATATATATAAATTGGCAACGAAAGAGAAAAACTAGTCTTTTATTAATGGACCACTGACAATCAGTGATGACACCAGGTGTTCGCATCGAGGGTAAGCATGCTTTCCCCTGCTGCTTGCACCCACCATGTACACAATTTGCATAAATTATTTACCGCATTCGACGTAATAAGCGCCCCGCACTAATAAGCGCCCACGGCGATATTTGCTAATATATTGGCTAGTGAACAATCCCAATTGGCACCCCTTCCAATTGATCAATGTACACAATACTTATATTCTCGTATCATACGTGTGTTATATGCATCCTTAATCATGGGAAATTAAATTCTGGAAAAATATATCTGTCGTATATAAACATTTCAGGCTGTCAGCATAAACCACGAAATTTACGACCTTTCAGCTCTGTTGTTTTTCACCAAAATAATTTTCTAATAAGAGCCCCCTATGTCTAATTTTGAGAGCGCCCTGAGCGCTTATTATGTCGAATACGGTATTGTCTGATTCCGCATAGCAGAACTCCTGGCATGCAATGATGGACTGAACATAAACTAGACAATCCAGTGATCGATAAAGCAGAAAGTCCAGTGACACAACAGTGCATTTACTGATTTTGTTGAAACCAATAAAATTGTTTTTGTTGATTTTGAATTACGCCTGCTGTGTACATGTAGAGAGATACTGCTGCTCATAAGAAAAGGAAACGTTCAAAACCATTTCTCACAAAGCACTTTTTCTCAAATTGAATATTGTTTATTATCCATAAGAACTGAATTCACCTTTCTGGCACTGAACATGATCGTAGGTTTCTGTTAGTGGCTGAAAGAATTGTACTGTACTAACCCTACCAGACATTACACATTTGACAGTCATGGCAAAAATGAAAGAAAGAAAATCATTACGTGAAGAAAGAGGCGAGACTGGCCCTGCTCTGTGTTGATACACAGGCAGGCTAGCGGTTGACAGGCTGTCGATTACAGCACAAATGCCAATCAGCTAACTCAAGCAGGGCTGGAGAGCCACACAGCTATTTACCATTGGTGTTCTTGCTTGACTAACCTCCGGAAGCTGCCCACGATTGTAATTGTCGTTATTGAGACATAAGACGGTGACGTCACTTGCGTAAACTCTCCGTAAAAGGAAACCTTGGAATTACCTTTTTAAATTGGCTTATGTGTTAATCTTGGTCAAAAGCTTTTCAATCTCTATCGCATTCTGTTTACACCGTGGTTTTTGAAGGACAAAAATGTAAACAACCATACTAATTCTGGTGAACTAACTCTCGACACTACCTCTGGTCTGCTGGTCGAGGTGTAGCATATTTTCTGACAGACCAGTAAAATGTAAAAAATGCTGGTTCAGTGGTCTAGTCTTATTTTGGGGATGAACTAGGTGTGTGAGACTTTTGAAATCACCGATAGCTTGACTCTAAACTTTAAGCAAAGCCAGTAGCATATATACGCCTCTGCGCGGTACAGAGACCTTCTTTGATCAGAACCATTGTGTCTAACAGAGGCCCAACAGGACCAGTAGATTTTTCTATGTGCTGGTCCTTTCGACCAATGACAAATTTTGGTCAGTGTCACACACTGCAGTCACAAATACAAAAATAATTCGTGACTGACATACTGTAATATACAGTAATAATAATCTCCTTGATTCACACACACACTCCTTGATACACAAGTCAAACATACAAAGTAGTCACATGAAAATATGCCCAGTTCAACCAGGTAGGACATGACCTTGACTAACAATTCGCTGCACTCATGGTCCCCACCCCCCACCCTCCAATGTGTGATGGAATCAAACTTGCATCTGCCTCCTGGACAACCGTTCAGACCATGCACTTCCCACTTATGACAGCTTGAGTGACAGCGACAAATGAGATATACACGTTGTATATCACATCAATGTGGGGTATATCTTCAGTATAACACATGCCTGCTGGGATGCTTTTTGTCATAACAGACTTGATGCTGCTGACGTATTAATGTACATACCATTTCCTCTTTTTGCCTACATCATTTCTGAAGTAATATGTTTATTTAACATACACGCTCCGGCCAGGACAGTGGAATGCCCCATAATGCTAAGGTTCTTCATGAAATATTTTGACAGGAAACTTTGGGGCAGAAAGTTTTTTGGTTCTCACACATATTGTAGTTAACTGTTGAATATTCTAAAAAGTCTAATCATAATAATTGTTCATAAACATGGGCTTAAATTTTCTGTAAAAAAAATAATTATTTATTTTCCTTGCTAGATAAACCTATGTATACTTTCAGAATTCAAATTTGGTTTTTACTTTGCTCGGTCTTGTCCATTCCAGCAGTCGTTGTCATTCATCGGTGAAGCTGCGATGTTTTCATCGTTACACACGGTGTAGGGAAGTTGTACCCAGAAGTCCTTTGCCATTTTGACACGTTCTTTAATATCTCGTACAAGTCGATCCAGGCTGGTGCCAGCTGCTGTCGTTGGGCGTGCAGCTGCTCGATTGGGTTTGAATTCAAAGGTGTATTCGTAGTTCTCGGCTTCACGTTTCCTGCGACCGAGTCTGGGGGTACCACAACCAGCAAATATCTGGAACGGGAAAACAATGAATTAAGAAAAAGGTTTGATTTGAAGCTACTGCCAAAGTGTAGCCTTCAATGCATTTTAAGCAAGTGTGTAGCTATGGTAGCTCCTATACTTTAACACAGACTTTCAATAGGGGGCCCTGGACGAGACAGAGAGCTACACTATGTGTCACAAGTCTACCCCACAATATGATAATGATGGTAATGACCAGAGAACTGGGATAAGAAACCTACACAGCAGCTTAATGGGTGATACAAGCTTCATACCGGGCTAGGCTGATATTAACATTAGCCACTATGATGAAACACATATATATCCCAACAGGGGTCCCTCTAGCCTGTACACATCAATACATACAGTAAAAAAACCCGTAATAACAAACTCAAAGGGACTACCAATTTTTGTTCGCTATAACCATAGTTTGTTATAATCATAGATACAGTTTACATACAGCCAATGGCCCGGATGAAAACGTAAGTTTGTTATATCCGTCAGTTCGTTATATGCATTCGTTTTAAACATAATTTACTGTATATACAACAGATCACTACACACACAGCCTCTTTCACCACAACAGCTTTACAGCATCGAATCAACAGTAGAAATAACTTCAATTCAATAAAATAAATTATTTTTCACTTCATCAATTTATACTTTTAAGTTCCCCTTCAATGTTGAAATATCAAGTAAGATAATTATTGTATATTCTGCATGTTAAACACCCAGCTTCAATAAGCACCTCTACAACATGAACACACATGCCCTTCATGGAGTGGCACAGAGATTTCCTGCTGCTGCTGTGTCTTGTTATATTATTTCTATAAAGAATCTATTCTGTAGCTGAACCTGATTAAATGACGAGGCAATAGAAACTCCCTCAGAAGGGCCAACGTTGACTTTGTCAAACACGGTATCCTTGAAACGGGAAAGATGTTTAAGATTCCTGACTGCTTTGCTGTGACTACGGGAGACACATTCTCGTGGACACAACTCGTGGAAACTACCGTGTGACTTGTGACTGGTCCAACCACAATCTCACCTCACAGATCGTTCCTTATGTCAAAACATTGATAATTTCTTTGCTAAACTTGGTATATACAAAATAGAGGAAATCACAAATATCTTTTTCAAGTTCACTTTTCAGAGTATTTTAATTTCCTGATCAAATAACATAACACGCTAAATACCTTGTTTTGATTCACACACACATAAGGACTGATTCTGGATAACAGGTATGTGTTAATATTGACCGACTAGTTAACAGGATGGAAAAAGGTGTCATTTCTTTGAAACACTACTGAGTCATCCTTAAGCAAAGATGTGTCATATGTTAGGCTGATTAAACATTTTCTACCTGCCTTATATTGAGGTTGATTCAGAACATCCCCTCACTATTACACCATGTTGACTGACTGTCAAGTATAGCAACAGAAACACTTGGGGACAGGCGGTTTACCGAACAAACAAACCCAGCACGTTTGTCAGACTCTTCACTGTGGAGGTAGGAAAGGTGCAACAAAAAGGACCCATCTCCACTTCCTCCCAGTTAACACACACAAAAGTCAAACCTAAAATGTTGTGTTTCTTATTCTGCACTCTTACATACACCTTGTACTTCATGAATGATTCGTCCGTTTACAAAACTATGTACTCAGAAGAGAAATATTTGATTTTTTGGGGGTGCTCCCCGCGCTAGAGAATGTATGTACATTTGTTGTTTACTTGACCTTATTCTTTAAAGAGAGGTCTGAATTTTTTCACAAGTTAATACGAGGCACACAGAGAACAAGCATTGGGGAATTGAACCGAGGATCGTACAGTGCTGCAGTGCATGCCAGACAACTGTGAAACCTGCTCTACACAAAGCAAAACAACTTTTAAAAGTCTGACATTTTTACTGATTATCAATACTTGTAAAGACTGAACATTTCCATGGCAGTTGGTGTCTCACAGACACGGTCATCCAAGAAGCCATGTGGTGATAAATATCATTTTATTACATCTGAAATTTCCATGCGAGTGAAACATTCATGTACAGTTTCTAGGAAACTTAAACATCATAATAGACATCCAATCTCTTTAAAAGCCATCCAATCTTGTACAACTTCCATTCTAATTTTTTAACATGACAGGGCTAGATTTAAGGAACTTGACTTAGCTTGTACCAGGTGCATGTTGACATGGAAACCAACCCAGTTGCACCAGACAAAAACCTGGTTGCACCCTGGTCCCATACGTTTATCAAAGTTGAAACATGGGCCAGTCTGCTGTCAGTGTCACCTTAATAATGACGCATTGTTGTACCCACAGTTAGATGATGTCAAGCCCAAGAAAGCATGACAAATTGCACGTAACACAGGGATTTGTGATGTAGTATGGTAAATCAACCTTAACAGAAGTTTTGGTTTTGGTTTGTGGTTTAATGCCGCACTCACCAATATTCCAGCTTTATGACGACGGTCTGTATATAATCGAGTCTGGACCAGACAATCCAGTGATTGATATCATGAGCATCGACCCATGCAATTGGAATGAATGACATGCATCAACTAAGAAGAACTGAATGTGTTCAAAGATTGATGTTGTGTGGACAAGTAAGGGTTAGTCAGACACCAAGAATTTTTATATGCGCTTGATGTAAGTATTACGTTGCATTTTTAAGGTTGCACTGGTGCATGTTTTTTTTAAAAAAAAACTAAATTGGGCCCTGCACAAATAAGAATTACTGTCTCCCTTATAGAGTGATTTGGCTCAAGCAAAATTGGCACTCCAGCAAGGTTGATTTGGAAGTAGTTTAACATCACTTTGTTTATATAGCAATCCAGCACTTAATGATTGCTGCAACAAGTACCATGAGTGTCCACTTACTATGTCGAAGCCTAAAGTGGTGAGTGAGTGAGTATGGTTTTACGCCGCTTTTAGCAATATTCCAGCAATATCACGGCGGGGGACACCAGAAATGGGCTTCACACATTGTACCCATGTCGGGAATCGAACCCGGGTCTTCGGCGTGACGAGCGAACGCTTTAACCACTAGGCTACCCGACCGCCCCTCGAGGCCTAAAGTGCAACATGGGAGCAGACTGTGGGGAATAGACCCTTAAAACTCGCTGACTTGGTTCATTCATGTCATTGTATCCCATTTTACGTCGATCGATGCTCATGATGTCAATCACTGGACTATCTGGCCAAGATTCAATTATTTACAGACCATTGTCATATAGCTGGAATATTGCTGAGTGCGGCATTAAAAGGCAAACACACAAATGAAATGCTTATATTGTTGTTGTATGACACTGGACAAGGTGTACCGTAACCCAAAAACTTAAAGAAAATTATTCAAATATATACATTCACACATACAATTGAAGTAACTTTCTTGAAATGTTTAAGTTCTTTACTTTTTATTTTTTTCAGTCAAGAATACAGGACCACTTGCATACAAAGATGGTGTTTAAAAATGGAAATAGAGACTTGTTTATGCAGACAAACGGCTGATTATACACGCTGCAATGAATGTGTGACTTCGCACAATCTCTAGAAGGTCACTGGGTCATAGGAACTCCTCTAATGCTAAATATTCCACAAATATTTCATTTGTTTACCCTTTAAAAACAACCATTTTGGGGTTGTTTTTACATTAATCTTCACATAACAACATGAAATTTGTGACAAAAACTCTAATTATCTCTGCTGGAAGCAATTACGACAATTATCACTTCCCATATATCATAGTGTACTAGTTCCAGACAACTGTTTCTGACATTTGTGGGGAAGTAACACCCTTCAGTTGGAATGTAGACTGTCAGTTTTATCAGCCTGCAGGAAGTACAGCATTCTATCACCTGCATGAGCAAGTATGTGTTAAATACCACCAGACAGTTTTTATGCAACTTTTTCACCGAAATACATTAATTTGGGTAAACGAAATGAATTAATTCCGGTTTGAACTCTTCTCTGACTGATCTAGATTAGCAGTCAGGAAAGCAGTCTGCACGTGACAATAAAATTGTATGGCAATTTTCGGTTTTAGGATTCATTCTTCTTCTAAAATGCATCAAAGCAATGTACTTACCAGATTCAACTTATGCAGGGAAAAACATGTTTTACAAATGTAATAAATCATAAAACAAACTATGAATGAGTATGACATGTATATATGAGTGTGCACTCACATACACTCAACTCGACACTAACTGAGAAATTTTCAAGCAGATATTATCTTCTCATATCTGATTTTAGACTAAACCACATAAAAGCTGTAGAATTAAACCTGAAAATCTAAAATATGTAATAGGTAGTTGTGAAACTGAGCCTCAACTCTACTGATAACATATTCCAGGGATGCTCTGCCATGATGACCAGCCCTGAACAAGCATACATTCATTTTAAATCTGGCCATGTTTTTGTGAAGTAAGCTCCGACACAAACCAGGCCATGCCAGACCAAGTTGAGTCAGTGATTTCTGATTACATCTTTATACAATACAAGCCAAGTCAAATCCCATGTTTGCCATGTTACGAGTGGCCAGTAATTCTGAGCCCCTTGCAACCCCGACAAAGCCCCCTGGCACAATAGGGCTCCCTCGGCCTGACACCAGCGCCCACCCTGTGTTTGCCATTGCTGGATCCTCCTTTTTTTGTTGTTCTGTTTAGCTCCTTTTTTCTCGGAGGGATTTAGAAGATGATCATGTTGTGACTGTCGCGATCATCCTCAAACAATGAGGTGAAGACAGGCTTACTGTTCAACCATACTTCAAGGCTTCAATATCGTTCAATGGATTTCCTCTTTGTCTGAACAAGCAATCACCCTGAACTGACATTATAGATTTCTATCATGTTTTCTGCATAAAATGTATTACCACAAACCCTTTGAATATTGTAGTAACCGCAACTTGGTATTTCAAGACCTATAGTTGAACATACCATTATTTAAAAATGCCTACCGACAATGACTGAAAAAGAAATACTCTTCTTTAAAAATATTAGCTTCCGATTCTGATTTAAAATCAGCTGTCTTAATCAGAGGCGGTATATAGTAATTTGACAACCTCTGATTGACCAATCAGAATCAAGTAATTTCCAAATTCATGGCACAATACATCCAAGTCTTTCTTCAAAATTAAACACTTGGTTACGATCAACAGCTCAATATTTACACATCCAAGAAACTCACTTTTGGCGATATTTCAGGCACTACTTTAATAAACATGAATTTAAGGAAATAATTTTTTGAAGCGACAGCTGGGTTGACGATCATCACCTGCATCCTTATCACAGTTATTTGGAGCAGAAAACACACAGTAACCAACATCGGTTAACCTCAACAATTTACTTCTTTTACTTTATTAATAATCATGAATCATGAAGAAACATTTTTAGATAATATTTGTGTCCCATAGAAGTGAAGCAAGCCATCAGTACAGATGTCTGTGAGTGACATGGTTCCTATCATCAAACCACCATTCTTGGTGCCAAACGCTTGTCACAAACTACTATACAGCTGAGGAAAGATTGTAGGGATACGGTAACAGAATGAGGGAATATGATAACCAAATTAGGGAATATAATCACCAAATGGGGCAGGCTATATGTTATCAAAAGTGGGATATGAGGGGATGTGATAATGCCAAGAGGTGAGGTGAAATGGGGTTTAACGTCGCGTCCAAGATTATTGCACTTATATAGCGACGGGCATGCACGTGTGTGTGTGTGTGTGTGTGTGTGTGTGTGTGTGTGTGTGTGTGTGTGTGTGTGTGTGTGTGTGTGTGTGTGTGTGTGTGTGTGTGTGTGTGTGTGTGTGTGTCTGCTTGTACTAGTCCGGACTGATGCTGATTTATAGTGCTAGCACACCGAGATACCATGCCGCAGTTTAACATGGATACCCCACTCAAACACAGTATACTGACTCCGAGCCGACCAGTCCTTGTTTTAGCCCCTTAATGTCGAGTGCCAGAAAGGGTAACAACAAGTACCATCTTTTAACGTCTTTTGGTATGACGCGGCTGGGGATCGAACTGATAATGTCAAGAGGGAATATGATAATCAAACGCGAGAGGGTGATTACAAAATGAGGGAATATGATCACCAAATAGAGTGAGTGGATGTGATAATCAAAAGAAGGAATACAATAATCAAAAGAGGGAGTGCGATTACCAAATGAGGAAATATGATTACCAAATGAGGGAATATGATTACAAAATGAGGCTATATGTTATCGAAACGGGGAAATGCAACAGAATTAGAGGATGTGAAAATTTAAAGAGGAAATATGATAATCAAACAAGAGAGAGTGATTACCAAATGATGGAATATGATTACCAAATGGGGTGGCTAAGTCATCGAAAGGGGGATTCGGCAACTGATTCAGGGGATAACCTTTTGGGGGAGATACAAAAACAGAATGTGGGGAATACAATAGCAGAATGAGGGGAAAAAGCTACAGACTGGGGGAATATGATAACCTTTAGAACAGATCTGGTAACAGAATCAGGTGATAGGATTACCAAATGGGGGAAACGGTAGCTAAATGTAGGGATACGACTACAGAATGAGGGGATATATTAACAGTATGAGTATATATGATAGACTAACACAGTCTATGAAATATTACATTACACAATACACTTCTCTCATAAAGTTTTGTTTTTGTAATGATGACATGAAACAAAGCTATTATTATAGTCAGTATTCTTATCATCAAGTCTGTTTTTGAACAGGACAAGCTAGATGGTACCAGCAGCTATAACGACTCCCACAGCTTTCATCAGACCACATCATAATCCCCTTTCCTGACCACTCTCTTCAACCTGGGACCAACTCTTCTACACAGCCCCATGAGGGTGAAAACAATTGAAGAATTTGGCTGGAATACGGTCCAAGGATTGCTGGAAACAGCATTGTGGGAATTTGTTATTTCTTCTGTTGTAAAAAATCCCCAAGGGCCGCTGTCGTAGTGACTGTACAATGGTCACTATTGATTCGTGGTAACTTTGTTTTTAGTGAAAACGCAAACTGCAGAACTCTACCATTACAATTCCACAACCAAAGCACAGGAAGCTGTGACATGGAAAAGGTCAACGGTTTTCATCACATTACTCACTGAGCATGACTGAGAGCACTTTTAAATAATGAATATTGTATTATCAGTCAAATATTTTGTGAACCGGACTTTGGAGTCACTTACTATTCTGCATTTCTTACACAGTGGAAGATCCCTGTGCGTACTAACATCAGAAAAGTTTCAGGGATTATGTTTATGACCAAGTATGGCCAATGTCTGCAAGAGTATGGTAAAAATTTGTTGGATTAAAAAGTGAATTTTGTTGTTTATTCTACCTTGTTTGCTTCTATATTCATTATTTAACACCACACTCAGCAATATTCTAGCTACATGATGGCAGCCTGAACATAATGGAGTCTGGACCAGACAAGCCAGTGATTGAGCAACATCCTGTACTGTTGAAGTAAAATGACACACAATCAACCGTGCCTTAAGCTAGTGAAATGAGAGCCCTCAAATGCTACTGGTCAATGAAGGCTACCATCATTTGGTTTTTACTGGTCCTAAGCAAATTTTAGTAGTCTGGGGCAAGGGGACTAATGTGAATTTCAAAGGCTGTTCACACTATTCCTTTTCAGAGCCATTGTGATCAGCGAATCTCCATTTCTCCAAACAGCCCCAAGCAAAGACTCTTTCTACATACCTTGGCAGAGACTTGTTGACCATTCTCTTGCAAGTTCATGATGGCGTCGGATATTTTGACATCGATCGGATCCACGACAGATTCAATGTTGAACGGCCCTTCAAGACGACCTGCCAGCATCTTCATGGCATCTGTAACACCAACCAAGGATATATGTTACACAATTCGAGGACTCATACAGAGGTCTATTTCAGGAACATGACAGACAGAATCTGTAGCTGGGTTGCTTTCTAGGCGGGTGGATCAGGGGGTGGATCAGGGGGTGGATCGGTGGGCAAATGGGTTGCTGGTAATGCTGTTGGGTGTGTTGGTTTTTAGGTGGGTGTTTTGTTGGGTGGGTGGGTTGGTTGGTTGTTAGATGGGTGTGTTAGGTGATTTGGTTGTTAGGTGGTTATATAGTTGGATGGGTGGTCCGTTTGGCGAGTAGGTTGTTGGGTGCATTGTTTTTTAGGTGGGTATGTTACTATGTGAGGTGAGGTGCAATGAATGGGGTTTGACATCGCGTCCAAGATTATTGCACTTATATAGCGAAGGGCATGTACATGTTTGTGTTTATCTGGATTGATGTTGATTTCGAGTGCTAGCTCTCTGAGATACCATGCCGCAGTTTAACATGAATACCCCACTCGGACACAGTATACTGACTCCGAGCTGACCAGTCCTTGTTTTAGCCCCTTAATGCCGAGCGCCAGACTTGGGTAACAACAAGTACCATCATTAAATGTCTTTTGGTATGACGCAGCCGGGGATCGAACCCTGGACCTTCCGCTCAACGGGCAGACTCTCTACCACTAGACCACAGAGGCGATGCGTTGCAATGTGAGTGGGTTGCGAGGTGTGTAGGATGTCTAGGTGGGAGGAGGCGTAGTTGGGTGAGTGGGTTGGTCATTGGGTGGATGGTTTTCTAGCCTGCTGAGTGAGTGGTGCTTATCCATATCATATTTAATATGAATACAGCATAAAAAATCCAAATGATAAATTTTCTATTCCCTCTAATTAACAAATATACACATTGTTCTATCACATATTCTGTAGTTTCAAACACAACATCAAACACATTAACATCTTGTAAACAATCACAACATCAAACATTCTACCATAACCATCAGAGGACTAATCCCCATCATAAGTAAGCTGCTCCCGTTACGTTGACATAACAGTTTTGTCCACAGGGTCCACAATTACTCCATTGACACAGGGTAACCTCTGATTAACCTCCACAAGCATCACAATGGAACCTGGGCCTAAGCACCTCACACCTTCTGGCCCAAACAATGCCTTACATAACTGTGAATCAACTCCAGCCATGGTCCATCAAGCTGGGCGAGACTACAAGCAAATCCTTTTTGATGTTGAGTAACTTGCAGTGTGGTGTTTGAGCTATCTTTGTTGTGAATGACATAATGTAAGCATGAAGATGTGGGAGACGCTTCTGATGTCTGGGCTGGACCAGGCTTCCTCACACATAATGAGGATAAGCTTGTGTGAAGATGGACTGCAAATTAGTGAACCCAGAGAACATGTACCTTGCCACCATGCTAGGGAGAAACAACACCTCCATGTGGATGGTGCTGTAATGAACTAGTACATCCATCAGCTTGCAGCCTTACTCCACGTGTTGCTACCAGTTTGGGTTGTGTCATTGCATTTCTTTTAAAACATATTTATTTCACAGAATGTGTGAAACTGGATTGGTAAACAAGTAAAGACTTATGTCAATACCGCTCCAGCTGTCATACAAATGTCATCAATAATAACGTACAGTCATTTCATTTATTAAAAGTTCACAGACAAGTCCTTGAAAGTTTCCACGGACAAGTCCTTGAAAGTTTCCACGGACAAGTCCTTGAAAGTTTCCACAGACAAGTCCTTAACTGTCTGTACAAATAGACACATACACCACAACCCCACCTCAATGACGTCCTTGAAAGTTTCCACTGACAAGTCAGGAAAGTCCCTACTAAAAGACACATAGGTCACAAATACACCCCACTAACAAGTCCATAGATCTTCCCTCTAGCAAGTCCCTTAAAGTTCCTACTAATAGACACATACGTCACAAATACACCCCACTAACAAGTCCATAGATCTCCCCTCTAGCAAGTCCCCTAAAGTTCCTACTAATAGACACATACGTCACAAATACACCCCACTAACAAGTCCATAGATCTTCCCTCTAGCAAGTCCCTTAAAGTTCCTACTAATAGACACATACGTCACAAATACACCCCACTAACAAGTCCATAGAACTTCCCTCTAGCAAGTTCCTTAAAGTTCCTACTAATAGACACATACGTCACAAATACACCCCACTAACAAGTCCATAGAACTTCCCTCTAGCAAGTCCCCTAAAGTTCCTACTAATAGACACATACGTCACAAATACACCCCACTAACAAGTCCATAGATCTTCCCTCTAGTAAGTCCCCTAAAGTTCCTACTAATAGACATGTACGTCACAACCCCACCCCAGTGCCATCCACTAATGAAACTGTATTGTGTTCAGCATTTCCAAGGCTGCCACGTCTTTTTCAAAATACTTGAAATTCTGAGTAACACATTTTGAAGTGGATCACTAAATCACCCTATTCTTCCCCAAAGCACAACACCAAGAAAAAAACTAAACCTCAACATCTCCTAAACACTTCATCCCCGCAGTAAGGCAACCTGATTAATACTTCTTTAATCTAATAATTTTTTCTCTTCTGTCGAAAATGTCTATCAATTTTAGAGATATGTCCATACGAGTTCCACACGCTGCAAGGCACTACACGGCAGTAAACTCAGCAGCACCGACTGGCTTCTCTAAGAAGATTACGACTGGCTATCTTTCCTAATGGTCAAAATTCCCAAATGAATTTACACAGTTCATTTCTGTGGATGAGTCAAGGCCAGGAATCCAATAATGACTAGTGGAGTACTAACACAATCTCCTACTTGTCAGCCCTTGCATGTGGGTCATCGTGTGCATCAGTTCTGCTGAGGGCACCTGCCACAGACTAAAACAATACCCACTGTCGCGAAGCCTTGTTCAAGAGGCTCGGTTGCTGGACCTCATAAAGGTTGTCGTTGAGCTGAATAACAATAGGTTGTGTAGGAGATAGAAGGGGTGCTTGGCATTTATCATATGTTGTTTGTGGGACCAAGTCCTGATTCAATGAAGCAGCTCCTGAGAGCGGCTAGTCATGTTGAGTGGGTTCTGTACATGCATTAACACTAATGTGAAGCATTCAATTTCTTCTCGTTTTATCATATATACACAGTGTGTGACTCAAACGCCTGGTCCAAAGACCATGTCTAGTAAAACTGTGTATAGTCCAAGAAGCTCAGCTAAAAACAGTCGAAAAGATGATACTAACATATACAATCAACGATGCTAAGAGCCAAGTTCGGACATGAAATGTTTTGAGTACCGCGTGTATACATCACTGGATCAAAATTATTATTTTTTATATTAAACACATTTACTACTCTCAAATGATGCAACCATGTGATGAATTCACTATTATTAATACACACTTCATATAAATCACAAAAGCCAAATTTAAAAATATTTTTGTGTATGTGTTTTGTTAAATATATACTTGGAAAAAATTGGACTTTATCGACCATATTAATTGCTGCAATCTATCTTGACAACACAACAGTTTAAGGCCACAGAACTAAAAAACGAATATGCTGAAGAACAAAGAATCAAGGTCCATTATTTTATAATCATCAAAATATTTCAGCAAATAATCCAAATTAAGACTTGCTAATCTAAAACAGCTTGGGGGTTAAAACAAAGGACACAGTGTGGAGAGGGTTAAATTAACCTTCTTCCACCAAGAAAAAACTGTGTTCCAATCAGGGTTTCAAGTTCAGGAAATGATTTTGGGCTGAGGTGCAAGTTAATAAGTCTCTGGATGACTCATGGTCTAACTAGATTTGCTGCCATGTTAACTGGGGGCTTCAGTCTCCCTGCCTGTCACTGGACTAACAAAGCATGGAGAGGAGAGAGTGGACCATTCTTCAAACTCTGAACAACAGTTTATTGTGATGCTCAATATTTTGAAATTATTTGGAAATTCAAAGCAGTTTTCACTTCAAATTTAAAATTACTTAGGGCACTGATATATACTGATATGATATATCTTGATATATTCTGTTGTCATCATGTCGTATCCTACATTCATATCATATGTCATATCATTTCTATAATAAATGCCATTCAAAGACTATAATAGATTCATAAAATATCATCATATGATGCTCATATACAGTTCCTGTAGGTATTTCTTGTCCAAAAGTAAAGGTAAATATTTAAAATGAACATAAACCAATATCCTGTTAACTTCATCCAAAAACAACATACTTACTTTAATGTACGCAAATAACATACCTACCCAATATAAGCCATAACATACCTAATTCAAAATACACTAAAAATCTACCTACCCCAATATAGCCTTGTAACATACCTACCCAAAAATACCTTAATAACATACCTTCTCCAAAATACACTAATGACAAACGTACCCCCGTATACTAAAAAAACCTACCTACTCCAATGGTTCCTTGTTACATTGTCAGGGAAACAATGAGTGAGTGAGTGAGTGAGTGAGTGAGTGAGTGAGTGAGTGAGTGAGTATGGTTTTACGCTGCTTTTAGCAATATTCCAGCAATATTCCAGCAATATCACAGCGGGGGACACCAGAAATGGGCTTCACACATTGTACCCATGTCGGGAATCGAAACATGGGTCTTCGGCGTGATGAGCAAACGCTTTAACCACTAGGCTACCCGACCGCCCCTTCAGGGAAACAAGGGGTTGGAGGGGTCTAAACAGCAGTATTTGCACTAGTGTACAGTCACAATGTACAACAATTGTTTACAAGCCCTGTGCTATGGGCTGTTATCAATACACTGGGTGGAAGCTATTTATCCGAAGGTGTGTTCAGTTGCAGTAATTTGCCCAACAATAGGTTAAGGGTGTGCAGGAGAAGGGAACAAAACTGGCCAACAAGAATTCTTTCATTTTTTTCAATCAACCTCTCACACATGCTGGCTACATCAACCAATCCTGCACAACAGTGAAACAACTGCCTGTTGACATACTGCTAGATGCACAACAGTCTCGCATACATTGTCA